TGCCAACGTAATTATCACCCGCATGATCAATGAGAATAACTATGATATCGACCGTATTGGTGACGGACCACTTGCATTAGCCTTGGATCCTGTGTCGATTCGAATTCAACAGCGATTGCCACATCCATCATCGATCGACACGGCAGATGTTCCGGCAACACCAGCAACGGCGACAGCGAAACTGTTTTGCATATCCCATACAGTAAAACAATCAGCGCTCTCGAACGAACAGAAGTGGTGCTACTTCGCGACTATTATAACCGCTGATTTATTATCGAGAATAATTTCAGATGTTCCCTCGCATCTGAAGGATGCCCTATCTTAAACTTGCCCGAAGCGATGGAATGCCATTAACGGGGCCGTCACAAAAGTATTAGGGAACTCACCTCAACGAAGCCCATTCATCGTACACAGATGACATATGCGTGAAAAATATTTCGTGTATCGGTGGTGGTGGTAACTTTGCTAATTATCATAATCGACAAACGGATTTGTCGTACTTGTTGAAGAGTACTTGTTGAAAAGGTATCGAAATACGGAGCAATGCCGTAAAATATAATCTTGTTCAGCTGTCAATCGGGCTGTCCGGCAGATCTAAGCGCTAAATCGCCCTAAACTTAGATTTGACTGGCGTGTGCTGCAGCCTTAGTTGATTTTTGCTCTCCGATAAGAATTTCCTGCTTGGTTTTCCTTAGTCTATTAGTACGAAATGATTACTTGGTCCATCAGACATCCGACGCATTTAATCAATACAAGCCCAAGTACACGAAACGGCCCGAATTTATAAAATACTGTTTTGTGATATAGGCTTGCGATAAAACTGTAATTATGAACAAAAATAGTAACAAAGCTATTCTTTTTCCAGCGCTACGGCCGAACAGTTTAGTTTACTTTTATACCTCGCTTGCCCTTTTTCATTATTTACCACATTCTATAAATTTCAACGGAATCAGCAATATGTATATGCAATATGTCAAGTAAAGCTCTTTCGAACAGCAGCCCAAATGGCGGTCCTAGTGTAAGAGTTTCGCGGTAGAATCATATAGGGTAAGCAGTCTCGTCACCGGGTGCAGCAGAATAATCAAGGTCGCTAAGCTTTGAAGAGGGACATTTGTTTGAGATTTAGAGAAACACCAAACTACATTGATCTGGTGGTAGTCATCGACGGCCGACCTGATCATGGGCCTCGAAGTCTGCCTGACAAGTCAAGAGATCATCAATATTTCTTAACAACTATTGAGCTAGACGGAGGGAGAGAAAAGCGCGAAAAGGGGGCTAGAAAGTGTACAGTAGGGGCAAAGATGAAAGACTGCGAAGTAGTGAGCGCAACCATTAAAGACACTAAGACAACCGAGCAATTCTCTAGTTGATTCGGCGTTCGTGACATTATAGATAAAGTCAAGTGGAACGTCCTACAACCCAGTGCTTAAAAATGATCATTAAAATATTTAATTGTTACCTAAACAGGTGAAAAAAATCCGTTATGAGTTTGTCGTTTGATGTTTTAGTTTAAAAATGGTATCTGACACGACAACGAAAACGTATATAAGATATGCTAAGATTACTATCGACCTTCTATCAAATGCTCGTAACATACGGTACTAATAGGCGAGCATACTATTTAATTGGCATATCATTCGCATATCTGAGAGCGGAAACTGTTGATCCAGTTACAGAAGATATATTAAAATTATCACAGAGATATACAGAAGATATATTATTATTATTACAGAGGGCCCCATATTAAGTGATACAGGTTCAACTTATACGAGATCGTATACAAGAAGCATAATTTGTGCAGAATAGTTGAGACTAAATAGAGAAACAAAAATATTATGAAAACGTCCTATAAAAAGTTACCTATTAAAAGCTGCATCGTTGAACTGATGTATTGGCCAAGTCGCCCTATTTTGTTAGAACGCATCTACACAAATTTATCTTTCTTTACTTAGTCCAGATCGACGCGCCAAAAGGCTAAAGCTGCCTCCTAAATAATGATAACGATAAGACCATACTTTTCAGCAAAATTCCCATTAGAAAATAGCTTGTCAACGATACTAAAAAGTTTCTAATTTTCCCATTTTTCTAAGTATCAGGTGCACGGATGTCACATATCTGTGATCTGCCAAAGCTTTTTTTTGTAGCTTCTGAATGGAAAACTCAGGGATAAAACACACACTTACCGCGGCTCTTAATTCAACCCGTTCTCTTCAACTTAAGGCGTGAACAAGCTTCCAAGGATTTTATTTATTTTTTTAAATTTAAATTTTATTTTTATTTTTACTTAACTCCAAATATAGTATTTATAGCTCAGTTGGCTGCATTTTTTGCCGCTGCTGTTTTTCCTTAAACCATTTACTACTCATCATCGGACCTATACCTGATTTGAACACAATCTTGTCCAACCTGTCGTCAGCGTTCTGCCCCTACTCGGATCCTGTTGCTCCATTTATATAACTTATCCAATTCTTGGCCTCTCTAGTTCACAGGTTTTCTGTTAGCGAGCTGCTGAACACAGACGAGGAAACGTAAGCGAAAGAAGAAAATGATAAAAAAAATAAAGGGAAACACGTAAAATCGTTGTACACAAGATTGTCTGTGTTATCAATACTAACTGGATTGCAGCCGTACGTCATAGAGAATCAAGAGAGGCAGACTGTGCTTGAGAGATCTGGCGTTATGGACGAAGAAATAATAGTCCATTTATGACACCTTCTAGAAAAAATCTGGCCACCCTCGACTGAACAAGCAGAAAGAAAGTCAGTCAACAGAATCCAGGGAACGTCTTGTCCGATGATCAGTCGATTTAGTCAAACAATCGCACTTCTTACGTTAGAGGAGCCGGATGACAAGTCCACGTTGGACCCTATTTCGATGAGTTTGTGTTACCGACACTTATGGTAGGGGACATCCGTGACTCTTTCTAAATTCTAGAAGCATATCTGAGTGTAGCTGGATGATCAACCAGATTGCCACATGACTACAATCGTCGCAAACAGTCATAGCGAAGCAGGCAAACTTGGTTTCAAAGTTCGCATTGCCATTGAAAAAGAGTGGCTTTGAGAACAGACTGGGAAAGAACGCCACAGGGACAACGTGCGACATAAAGTTCGTTCCTTTCCTGGATAAGATGGGTCCAAAAAAATTAACACCGCACTGAAAACGGAGAAGAAAAAATGAACGACCTGCGAAGAGAAGTAAACCACAAACCTCTTGTATCGTCTTTTTATTTTCTCATTTCCTCTAGGCTTGCTTCTCTCTACCTATCTTTTTTCTTATTTCTCTCTTTGTTACTCTTTTACGACAACTCTGCGGTTTCCTAAATTTTTTTCAAGTTTTCTAAGGTAGCCAGCTTCATGGCCCATTTTCCTTTCTAGGGTTTCATCTATCACCCATCTGTAGCTGCGCTCTTCTTAATACTCCACTCTTTTTTCCAGAAGAGGCTTTTGGCGGGCTCCATGATGTCCGCCTATGCGCTTGTTTATCCTTCTATCGTGCTTCTGCTATATCAAAAATGATACTGTTAAGGACACGTCACCTGACGCCCTGGTAGCCAGCAACCTAATAGAGGAAAGCGCAGATGACAACCACCGTAATGTTTTGTAACGGCCTTAAATTATCGCAACTCCAAAAACATAGTCTGGATATCCTCGAACAGTCTGTCACTATCTCCAATGAAGACAGCCACATAAGTAACACACCCATCGGCACTGGTTACGAAGCAATGGAGTAACCGGAAACCAACTGGAGAAACAGTAGAAAACAGAAGCAGCTTTTTGCATTCCATGTCCTTCTGTGAAACAAAGCGGGGGAGGGGGTCGAAGTATACTTGGATGACTTTGGGAGGGAGGACTTAGTATCCCAAATCAGTCTCATTGGGAACCTACTAGGTAATCGACTCACGAAGTCCCGCAGAGCAGTGGGGCGAAAGAACAAATGGGAGTTCTCTGACTTTTGTCAAAAAGCCACAACCGCTAGCCGACTGCTCATAGGGCTCAGCCCACAATCTGAAAGGCGCACGCCGAAGAGCAACGCGCGGATTTCCCGCCTAGGATTGTATTTTTTTGCAGCCTACTGCACTATGTCGAAACACTGCCTACTACCAACTGTGCTCGCCCAGTAGTGACCACTCTCAAAACATCCACTTTTATTCATGAACAACTATCTTAGGCTTATGTCTCGTGTAAAACGATCTTCATTTGGTTCGGTCTTTTTAAAAGGTTTGTCTAACCTGTGTTCTGCCATAATTACTCTTGGCGTTCTAAAGCTGCGCTGCTGGCGATCCACGGTTAGACCACTGTACTCATACGGTAGCCTACGAAATAATGGAATTCTGTCTTCGCTGGAGCGTAACAGATATACTTTCGCCAAATCTTCATACAAAATCTATCATCGGACGACAAAACCAGGGCATCTCATGTATCTCGCACCGTGGCGGGAATATACGCGGATATATCTGAATAGCTGACAATACAAAAGTGCAACTCGAACAGAGCGGGACATCTCTGGGTGATTACCAGTAGGAACTATAGGTTCGCCAGCATATTGACATTATTTTGGCCAAGGTAATCGCCATATCTCTGGTTAAAATCAGATACAACGGCGGCAATGTCATGTATCGTATCCAAACTTATATAGTAGAAGTTTGGATACGATACACAAAATCCAAAGCAATTTTTCTCTGATTTCAGAGAGACAAGCCGGAGGTTCACGCACGGGCCTCTAATCAGCGGCAAAAATGTCATCAGATACGCACGCATATCATTCCTTGTCAAATTCGGTCTCAGTCCCGTCTTAGCGAAGCAGACAATTGTTGACCATATCCTTTTGGCGTTTCCTTCTCATACCTAGCTATGGTAGCCGGTGTTCAAGTACTGCATCCTCTCGGATCTTTGTTCTATGCGTATATACATTGCTACCAATTTGCGCTCACTGTTTAGGCTTTGTAGAGACGTATCCATCTTACAGCTAAGTAAATTATCGTTTACTAAACAACTCACCATCTTTCCGGGCGTTTTCCTTGCGAATAACAGTTTGTCGATGATCGAGTCGATGTTTGCTAGTTGAGGAAGAGTTTCAACAGGCGGCGGTGCAGGCGGTCCTTTTAGACGCCGGCGCGGTGTCGCCGGAGAGCGTCTTGGTGATGCGCAGGCCATCGTGGATGATACCAAATCAGAATTTTTTGGTTTGAATGTGTGTCGTTCCCGCACCTTTATCAATCAGAAATCACGAACAACTCCTGAGTCACTTCGACAAATGTACTTGCACTTACTGGCTATCAACCCACGTGTAGAAATATCCGACAAAAATAATTTAGCTTAGAGGAGCAGAAAACACAGCAATATATTTCCAACCGTCTACAATCAGTGTTTAATCGATGCTCTGATCGGAGGACTGACGGGGCGATTATGTGTGTTTGTTGTTGGTGCGGTTGTTGGCAAATGTTAACGATCACAGACTCTACGGAGCGATAAATAGAGACATATGATATGACTACTTCTGTTAAACACAGCTGCCAGCGAAAAGGGAAGGCACACAAAATGGGCTTATCGGGCTGCTGCTCGCCGACCGACAGACACACATAGTAAAGAAAGACGATGGCACGCAAAACACGCAACAACACTTCTGACGCACTGGCTACTGGCAGCTGGCGACACAGCTATGCAATGTCGGACTCACCGACAATACTGCCGCCTAGCGCTTTCACCAAACGAGATCACGGAATCACGTGCAGGAACTGCCCGAAACTCCTACTGCTTTTATTGCTGATGATCCACAATGCCTGAACGCAGCAAAAAAAGGAAGAACGAGCCAGCTCTGACTGGGAGAAAATAGCGACATACTAATTGTTACACGATCGGCCACTCTGTTCGTGTTGTTGGTGCTGCCTGATTATTAATACTCGTTGACATACAAACGCTTAGCGGGCAATTTTTCTTATTAATTTAATGTCCGTGTGATAGAAAGGATGGTGCCTATGGAACAAGAGGTAGAAGTTGCGCACGTTTCGGTTCTAGAAGCCGTAGGCCGAAGCAGGTGTACAGTCTGCCCCTGTGGCCTATTAGTATCGCGCCTACTGCGCCGCTGCTCCGCACTTGCTGGTTGCTGTTAGTTGGCTGGCCAACGCGCTTGTTCTTACGACCGACGGAGAGCTTCGGAACAACGGCACACGGCGATGCCGTCCCGCGCTCACAGCGGCAAGGGTCGCTGGAACCGTATCAACAACGGGAGAGGGTGGAACGAGCAACGATCTACAACGAATTTGGTTGTTCGTTTTACTGGGCCTCTGGGTAGACCTGCCAGACTGTCAGTCAAAAGGCAGTAGCCGCACTAGAGGCTGCTGCCTGCGCTGTCACTCTTCTGACTTTGTGTTGCAAATATTGACAACTGAAGCGCCTTGCTCCGTACAATCGTCGACCGATTCTGCTAATTCCTATGTTCGGTTTATGCTTGCTCGAGGAGTCTTTGCGGAAGGCCGGATAGTTGGTCTTGCCACAGAGAAACCAGTTACCCTTCTCCGCAGTTACCCTTTCTTTCTCCAGAGTTCTCTCCTTGCCAACAACGGTAGAAAGAAGCAGTAGGAGATCTGGATGTATGTACGTGCCTGCGTGCTAGCTCGACAAGGCCACGGATACCAGGCGCGGAGCATATTTTTTCAACTGCTCTCTCTCTTAGGAACACACATACACATACGAATACATACAGACACATACTCATGACGTTTTGGAGAGGCTATGAGGGCAGGCTGGGAGAGTGTCTACCATGCTCGCCTAACCTGCCTTCGTCACGACTCGTTCATTTGTATGCATTCATACATAATGGAAACTAGCGGCCATGAAGGCTATGGCCTGCTCAAAATCTCTTCCTTTCAATACAGATTTACAATCTCCCTTGCTTGAGGATGGCTGGCCGACAGTTCTTCATTGTGCCGAAAAGCTCTAGTAGCAGTGGCACTACTCGTATCGCGTGCAAGCATGATGGATGTCCGTCTGGGTGGAGGGAAAAACTGGAAACATGGTAACTCTATTATTTATACAAAGATAAAACTTTGGCTTTGTTTTGGACTTGAACAATGCTAGGTGTGTATGGACTGCTGTAGAGCATTGCCAGAATGCGTACACTTTCAGTACGTGCTTAGATACCTTAGGACAAGACGGAAGCAACGGACTTTTGTTTTCGCCGGGCTAAATCCTTAACGTTCTCCTTAATATGAGAAACAAGGTGAATAAAAATAATGCGCAAAGGAGAGCTTGTAGAATTGAGTTTACCTTGGAGCAAGATGACTCCGGAACTTCTAAATGTCAGAAAAGTACTCTCAGACATTGCGCTTAACATTGTGTTTAACGGACTAAGGAAACGATTGATTATTGGAACACAAGCAGTATGCCCCACGTCTTCTGTCTGCATAATACTAGGTAGCATTATCTATCCAAACAAAAGTTGCAAGGATCTGAAAGGACAACACAGCTGTAAATAAAAAGGAAAAATCATTTGTTTAATGTTTTACTTAAGTAGTGAAATATTTGCCGAAAGAGCGTCTTGATGTTTAAAAAAAGCGAGTGGACATAAAGTACATCAAAAGAGATCTTTCGAAAGACAGATTGGTTACCTGAAAGAAATATTTTCCTCATTTAGGAGACGGTACAATTTACTTGGAATATTTTTATAGATAGCTTTACCTGACATGAACCAATCAACAAAAAACTGGTTATATATATATATATATATTTTACAGAGAGACTATATTAGGCCACCTTTACGGTTTATAGATTGAAGTAACCCCCTGAATTGACTTGGTGCTGCAAATTTTTTTTTTTTTTATTTTCTTCTGTGTAAGAGCTAACCATCTTGAGTAAACAAGCCTATTGAAGAAAGACCTTACTTCTAGCTATAATAAGTGCTCCTTTATTTTATAAACTCATGGTGGCCTGTCTCCTATAACCATTAGTCTGTCTTTCAGCGGGGTCCTTTTATAAAGTGCGATCAATTATTAATCTACGATGAGTATCTCGGTATGCTGGTTTGTTATCGAGTCCTAATCCTAAGCAACAGTAATAGTCTACAAATCAAAAGGCCCTGATGGGTGCCTGCAAGACATCGCAAGCTGTAAAAGATCGGGTCCAGACGTACACCCGTGAATTTCGGCAGCTACAATTCCAAAAGAGAGGCCTATTAGCAGACTCAAATCTTGCCATGTTCAAGCTCTTGATACCAACGATGTCCACGAGTCTGGTCTGAAACTTTGGCTTAATCTGAACTCAACCATTAGTACATTCAGTCATTGGATGTGCTTGTACACTGTCCGGTAATTGAAATAACATGGTCTTTTGCATCCATATATGCATTACAACGCGGTATAGGTAGCTATCCAAATTCAACCTATTCGATTACAAGCAATGAGTTAGCGCATGTGCTATGTTCACCCATTTTTACCTACAAACAATAGAGCTCATTGACTTGTTTATGTATTTCTCGCACATAACTTGTACGCGTATGCAATTACTCCTTCCGATCAAGAATCAGCTCATTCTAGGTCAGCCTTAACCAATTTCTGATTCCAAACTCGTTGCTATCGTTATGTAGCCTTATGATACAATACGTAATACTTTGTGGCTGCCATTAGTGTTGTTCTACTGCCATTTTCTCGTATTAGTTCTCCTATGGACCTGTTTCGGTTGATTCAGGGTCGCATTATTCGAGTCATTCATAAATCGATCAAGCTACTTCATTATCTTTGCTGACTTGCCTCGCAATTTTTCAGTATTTCATTAGCATCTTAATTTCATGATCTTGTCCAGTTACGAAAAGTTTACTCAACACACTACGAAAAATCAGAAACATGTTTTTCCCAAATATAGTCTTTTTTTTTTTTAATATATACCCCCATTCGTTGTACTGAAAATCTATCTTATGACTTATTTAAATTCTATAGCATTCAGACAGTAGTACAGAGTTGTACATAAAAAAATATTCTTTGATGATATAGTAATTCAAATTTAGTCGATAGGAGAAAAATCAATTTACAGTAAGACTATTATATACTAAGCATGCACTGTCTTGTTAAACCTTACAGAGAATTTGCTAAGGTTATTGTTAAGAGTTGCCTTTATTATCTATAGTGCAGCCGTACATACAAAATACATATAGCATCGTAACAGGTTCCGGCAAGAAATATTCTTAAATATCGAAAAACAAAGTTAATCGATTCTAAGTGGTATTGCAATTCTTGTTGTACTGAAGTTACTTTCACGGAGCGGACATAATAACGATCGTTAACCCTCATGATATACACAGAGAGTCCTACAAGATCTACTTGGCTTATCTCGTCTTGTGTCCGATATTTGGAAGCTTAGTACTTTTAGTTTTGCTAGCCGCACTAGCTAACATTAACAATCAATGCGATTTTTTTGTGAGTATGATGTGTGACACGTATTTAGATGTGCCAGCATGCTATAAACGCAAATTATATATATTACTTGATTTGCTAATACACGCATGCTTCACTCGTAAGCGCTCTATTGCGTAACCTAGCTTTCTATGGGCAATATTGACCCCAGATGTTTACCGCTCGCGGAACGTGGTGTATATTGCATAATATCAATTACGTAGGGTACAACAGTATCGTGTTATACTTGTCCCGGAGCTGGGCATTGAACTCTTTGTTGTTGTTTCATAGCCATTAACATAATTACCTAAAGTCACGAGACAAATGAAGGGTGAATTCTAGCTAATCTAATTTTATATTGGTTCGTGCTTGGCACAGGACAGCTGCTGGGTTTAGCAAATGCATGAAAACGCCCAAAATGCATCATCCGCTTGTTAAACCAGAATAGCTGTCGAAGGCGTTGGACCTCGTGTGACAACGTGATACACGCATTAAGAAAAAAAGACAGCGAAAAGCCGCATTCTACAAAATAAGCTAAACCACCATCTGCACAGGTGGGCAAATGAAAGGACCAAGCTGCCAGTTGTCTCCCAGTTGATTGACTCGTGTTGGAGTCACAGAATCTTGAGGCTCCCCACATCGCTACTTCGTGACAAATCAGCCCGTTTCTCCAAACCTACCTTACAAGCGACCATCAGGTTATCTATGGGTTGGCTCAACTTAAGCAGGTCTTGGCTATCAAGCGCGTCGGTAGTTAACTTTAACTTCAAGTATGAGTTAAGTTTAGGCTGAAATAGATTAAAAAATGCCTTATTTACATTCGGTTTGCCTCACTAGTAATAATAATGGTATCCGTAACAATTTACTTTTTCTTTGGGCAGCCGTTGTTAAAAGATGGATACTTACCTATAGATCCTACAAATACATCATGTTTGTAATTCATCATACAACGTCAGTAATAACGGCCAACCCTGGATAGTAGCCTTATTCTCACGGCTGCAAGAATCGCTTATTTGTACTATAATACAAGTATTATACATTCTACAAACGCAGAAATCGTTCTGCTCACTCAAAATTTCCTTCAAGCCCTACGTCGTTGCTCTAATAGCTAGCGGCGTCTATACAAGAAACATCATTAGCAATGCGCCACATCAATGCATGTTAACTTTTCCTTTTCAAAAGTAACAACACTGCAAGTTGAGATTTCTTGTTTGTATTCCGGCATCAGATATCTTAGGTATCTAGCCAAATTTCTTTTTCTCGTTTCGTTTTTTCTGAAGGTTTGCTTCTTCTGTGGAAGTGCACAAAGACTCAATCTTCATCAGCTTCGTAAATCTTGCTGCGAACTTAGGTACATATGCGCAATACTGAGAACAGTTGTTTTGCCTTCTTGCAGATGTAGATATTTGAGTGCAAAGATGACCATAGCTAATTAGCTTCGTAAAGGGTGACAAAAAAACGGATGTTCAACAATACGCAGGAATTCAGAAGTAAACTTTATTTTTGACTATGCTACACATACATTCGTATTGCGAGAACTTTGTCACCACTTAAAAATGTTACATATGTTGTACTATCAAAACTGCGGTTTATATTTTTTCCGTGAACGATAGCGGATACTATTTATTGTAGGTTAATCGAAACATATAAAATAGTGAGATCCAACCGGATATGAGTATTTTCAAGGTACGTTTCTAATACCGTCTGCCTTTTGCTTGGATACAGGCGCACCTGAGTTACAATCATAGAGCTGCGCCAATCGAAGTCCTCCATCGTAACTGATTAGACGAATGTGCAAAAGTGATTTATATATATAATTTTTAATACAAACTGAGGCATATAATATGCCTCCGGTTATTTAACTTGTGTTTTATTGCAAATCATGTTAAAAAAAGGCCCTCAAGACTAGCTAACTATTCGGTCCGCATTAGCCATGCGAGCAAACCTGTGCTAAATGTTTTTAATTAATTTGTATTTAGGAAAACCATTCCCTCAGAATCTTTGGCTTTAGTTCCAATGTAAGTTTGTAATTGTCATTAACCCCTTCT